GAGTCACGTTTTGAAAGAACAGGGATATTCAATATCCATAATTTACATACTTGGGCTGTTGAAAACCCCCACCAGTCAAGGCCGTCGACATTTCAACACCGTTTTAGTGTGAACATGTGGTCAGGAATATTCAATATGGAATTTATCGGTCCATTTGAACTGCCGTCAAGGTTGGATTCGGTAGCCTACAAAAGCTTCCTTGAAAATAGCCTACCATTATTGCTGGAAGATTCAAGCCTGGAAGCCAGACGGAACATGGTGTTCCAGAATGATGGTGCACCATGCCACAACGCAACGATCGTGCGAAACTACTTAAACGAAAGGTTCCCAGACAGATGGATCGGACGAAACGGACCGATACGATGGCCTCCACGCTCCCCTGACCTCAACCCCATTGATTTTTTTGTTTGGGGATATTTTAAAGACATAACATTCGCCCAAGAATGTGCAAATGAAAATTCATTGAGGAACAAAATTCAAGAAGCGACACATGTGTTGAAAAACAACACACAAGCATTTAGAGATTTAAAACAAAATTTCATACGTAGGTGTACACTGTGCATTTCTGTTAGAGGCAGACATTTTGAAAACCTCTTGTAAATAACATAAATGAATAATAATCTGCTGTTCAGTAAAAATCAAACGTGTTTTTGTGGTTTTTGCAAATTTTTTTTCCGAAACTAACAATTTCTATTGAGCAGAGGGTTATCCAATTTTGGGTTCGGTTCTATTTGCGCCACAATTACGGTAGCATGTAGTAAAGCTAGGTTGATGAAATTTTTACGGTAAATAGCTGATACCGTAAGGAAGTTTTTAAGATACTTACGAATAGTAAGAACATGTTTTTTCAATTTTTTATAAACGTTCAAAGTTGTTGCACTTTTTTACTTTTTTGTTATGTTCGAAGATTTTGAAAAAAATTAAAAAGTAGTATTAGTTACATGACTTGAATGATTATATGATAGTTAAGCCTTAGGTCTTAGCTACATAATCGTGAAAAAAGCAGGCATTCATCACAATTATTAACGAAGTTATGGTAAAAATAAACACAGAACTCAAAAGTTCTCGAAAAATCCGAAAAAAAATCGTAACTCCTAAACTAAACAAAATCGGACCATATATATGGGGGTGATTTGGGTTCCTCTCGATGTGGGGAATCTAATTTTTTTTTATGACGTCACGTGTTTGGCCACCCTGTATAGTCCGGAAAGTTGGAGTTTTCCTTTTCAGAAACAACTACCCTTGAAATAACAAAGGTAATATGTAGTGAAACGAGGGCGACCAAATAAAAAAAAATAAAGGAAAAAGTACTCACTCTCCAGTTGACGAGAAGGGCTAAGTACGTCTCTGCCCGAAATCATACCGCATACAGAAAATGAAATCAGCTGATGCGCTACCGAGCAGACGCAGGCAAACAAGGAAGGCAAAATGTTGCGTAAAAAGTCTAGGTATTGCATCCCGTCCAATCGATTTGGGAGAATAAATGGTCCGATGAGCATATCGTTCACCATGCCAGCCCAAACATTCACCGAAAATGTTTGTTGAAAATGTGCCCGACGGACAGCGTGCGGATTTTCTACTGACCAAACATGAGTGTTACGAAAGTTATTCACCCCATTACGCGTGAACGTAGATTCGTCTGTCACCAATATGCACTTCAAAAAGTCCGGATTATTGTCATGTTGATGCAACAACCACTCAGAAACCCGCACTCTTGCTGGAAAATCGTCAGGTTGAAGGGCTTGTACACGTTGGACGTGAAACGGATACAGCCCCTCTTCACGCAGCGTTTGCCACACTTTATTTTTTGATAATTGCACTTCTCTAGCCACGTCTCTAGTGCTTGAGGGATTCTCGTCTACGCGATTACCTCTACACGCGTGACCGTAACCGTCAGTTGAAGGTTGCATACTGACCTGACACACTGACCCCGACCCAGTTCTGTTGTCGGGTTGAGCCAGTGACCTTGTACCAATCGGTGATGTCGCGGCTACAGGACGGTATTCAGATATTTTTGATGTTGCAGAGCCCTTTATCTCGGTTCCCTTAAGACATTGGTGTATATGGTACTAAGAAAAATTGCTTATGTTTTCAAGATCTACAGGTCGTGTAAAGGAAAACCCCAACTTTGCGGACACCCTATATATATATATGCGACGGTGCAACAACTTGTTGGATATGAATGTAATTTTCATTATAATTAACGTCATTTTCTATTATTGTACTTCTCTCCCGTCACGTTTCCAGAAATAAGAAAAGGTCCTACAGTATAATTATACTTCGAAGTTGAGTCATTTATTTTAACAGTGAGTAGATCTGATCAAAAGAAATGTTTTTTTCCTTTACCATTTTTCAAGTAACAAAGTTATAGCCCTTTGGAAGTTTGAGTACCGCCCTGTCTCAATAATAATATTATGTGCTCGTGTTTGGCAACAACGGATATAATCCGCCTTATCGGTTCATCGCATCGGAAACAAAAAAGCGAAAGAATTTGGAACGATGTTTTTACAATTATTTTATTCAGTTGTATACAGTCAGTGTCAGTCGGTAACGCGTGAGTGAATAGTGGTGTCTGTTGCGTAGCTCAAACGAAATAAAAAATGGCACATGTTTACGATTCTTATTTACGCGGCATCACGGATTTATGCGGATCGGTTTCCCAATCGAGTGCAACCAACCCCTCGTGCCTTTGTTAATGTAGTACAAAGGCCTCGTGAATCAGGTGACTTGAGACCTCACAGGGGAGGGCATGCCGGTGCTCCAAGACCGCACGATCAAATACAGGTCCGCACTGAAATACTTGTCGGGAGGATACTTTATAAAACAAGGTAACATTTTTTCTTTATTTTTTTTTTATTTTTACACACATATTTTGGTTTATCTTCCTTCTACAATCATTATCTGAAAATTAATGACTCAACTTCAAAGTCACCCTGTATATATATATATATATATATATATATATATATATAAATAAACGATACGAGCGGTAGTCATTGCCATTGCCGACGACCAGTTGAGCAAAAAATACAATCAATCGTTAATTGGGAAATTGGGCTTTAGTAAGCTCTTTTAACGGTAATCCCGAGCTTTCGGCTTCTCTATGGAGCCATCTTCAGGAGCTGAAAACATGAATATGAAGCAAGCAACCAATACGGAAAGGGTTTAAATTATCAGACAACTTACTCGTCGCTGAGGTTGCAGCCAAATGGTGTTTCAAAACGAAAGCGTGGATGAGAGAACTTGTTACAAATATAAAACTAAAAGGACCGACATTGAGTTTATTGATAACGACGGAAACCATCGTTAGGTGTTAACACTGTATGTCAATACACCCGAACACATTAAAAATTATATAAACGCAATTTTGAGGGAAAAACCGGCATAGTCCCTTCTAATCTCCTACATCTGTTTCACGTGGAGAAAATGAGCGAACCGGAAGAGTGATGTGTCATCTGTCGACGCATCACACCCGCGTTGTTTGTCATTAAGCCACATTACAGACAAATTAGGAATGACCCATCACATACATAACACTTTCGAAGTGCTTCACATCTAGGCGCTGCATACATCTGTAATGTATTTGAGACAAGAAAGCAACGGAATTACCATCAACACAGACTATTAGCACATAAATCTTCACTAGTATGTAGCTTACAGCTTAGAACTTCAATAATGGCATCTCTGAAGCAGATGTTATACCACATCAGAGCCAAACATTGACAGAAGAAGTATCATAAAGTTTAGGCAACACGTACAGCTACGGAACGAGTACACAATACGTGTACAAGAGCTAGTACTAAGTTGACATCTTGTAGAAAAACCTACATAATATCACAAGAAACCTATGTAATGTCAAAAAAGCCGACATAATGTTACTTTTCAAGAAACGTAATACACCTGCCGGCCTCCCAGTTCCTTTGACAGCTAGTCCCGAAATCCCGGCTCTTTAAAAGTTCACCGGTTCTTCAGTACCTATAAATATCAATTTGCGCGAAAATAGATAACAAATCTAAATCTGGCTAAGCGCCACTTACAAATGGTTCGGCCAACATGTCTCGTTTTCTACATTTTAATTGATACAACGCTTTCTCGCCAGTCGCGTGGCAAGTAAAAATGGCACTTATAAACTTTCGCAATTCAGAGTACTTACGAGTATAGATGAAGAAAACCGAATTTTATCAAAATCGCTTCTTTTTCTTGCTTATATTTGAGATGGGATCTCAATATACTCGTAAATTGCACATTAACATTGCCACTTTTTCTGCTCTACAAGGTAACATTAATAATTGGGATTTCAATATCACGTTTGATCTAAGAGAGTTATTTCTAAGGATTGGCAATGTCAATGTATGACATATTATCATTTTTGGAATCAGGAGTGAAACATCTGTCCAACTGTGCAAAAATCCAATATGGCGTCCATAAGAAAGATCAATGTTGATTATTATTGAGAACAAGCGACGAAACGTCATACGACAATTCTAATTATGCCATATTGCAGAGAAGAAACATTAATGTTAATGTGTTTTTTTTTAAATGCAATCTCAAATAAAGTCAGGAAAAAATGAAAACTATTTTGGGAAAATTCAGTTTTCTCTACCTATCTCCGGAAATTTTTTGAATTGCGAAACTTTCTAAGTGCCCTCTTCTTACTTTACGACTTAGTACTCTGAAGTTTCCTCTGAAACTAATTCAAAAACCAGCAGTAGTGCAAGACATCCTATGAGATGATTTTGAAAAACCCAAGCGCAAGTCATGTCTTAGCCAAGAAGTAAACTAATTCCATGAGAATGCGAAAATACGCGAGAGTTCCCAAGCGTCGCATATTCTAACAACACTGGAAGCTATTTATATCGGGAATTCCATATTCTCCAAAAAAGTAAAACTATTCATATTAGAGATATGACTATCTGTGGCAAAGTAAGGTAATGAATATTTAAAAATACGTATCTTCACACCGATATACGATTTTTTCGCTTAGTTCATCGGTGCGAGTGCACGAATAGATAAGCTTCTGGAAAAACATGAAGGGAAAACTCATGCTTAGATTAACATTTAATTATCAATATAAGTGTATGACTGCATCATTGCGATAACCGGTGAAAAACAGTATAAATATTGAGCTGGAACTAAAGCTTTCACACAACAATCGACACTTTCCGTTTGATAGACACAGTTCAGCGCAACTTACCAGGTAATAAACTGTTTCGATTACTTATTGTCATATACACATAACTTATAACAAATTAAGAAACCCCGACTTTCAAGTGAATCTCGTGTCGGTAATTTTTATTCGAAAAGCAGCTTTTATGCTGGGTCAAAAAAGTATTACCACAAACGACAATAACGAAAAGATGATTTTTTTATGCTAAAATTAATTGAAAATTATATAAAAATAATAATGGGAATTATAAAATTTAAGGGTCAAAAAATATTGGCACACTGCAACAACAAATAAGCAAATAATAATAATAAATGACTTTTATTTCAGACGAAGTTTAGCTACAAGCTATTCCACCACTTAACCCTTGAAAATAACTAGCACTAGAATATTGACAACAATTTTAACACAACATTCTTCCAAAATTTGAACAAAAATAACACACGAATGTACAAAGGAAACTATAAACGATTTATATAGTGTGCAGAAATATGGCTGAAGTATATACTGGGGGCTTCAGATTTGAGCATCAAAGATAATTTATTTAATTTGCTTTTTGAAATTATTGAAATCAAGATGTTTAGCAATCGATGGTAATGCATTAATATTTATAGATTGATTGCATTGGTAAAGCGTTTATGATCTAAAGAAGTTTTGTAAAAAGGCAGTGAATCGAATGTTTTTTGAATGGATATATTAAGAGATATCAATTTATTTTTCAAAAATGAAGAAATCGAAGTACGTACGAGTTTGTGAACATAGCATAAAAAAACTTATACAACTTTGCAAAATTCAACCAGTTCAGCTGTTGAACTAATATGATAGTATTTCCTTAAGTTAGAAATCAATCTACAACATGAATTTTGAATTTTTTTTAGACGTTTACCTGAAACTGAATGGGTATACTTAATAACAATATGTGATTTTTATATTACTAAAGATTGACATACATTTTTTTTTTTTTTGGTCTAAAATCAAGTATTTCCTTGTTTAAGTGCCGTAAAACGGTAAAACAATTCTTAGTCACATTATTTAAATAAGAAACAATTTTTAGATTTTCATCAATAAACAAACCTAAGTTTTTAACTGATCCTTCTATCTGAATAGCATGGCCGTTTAAAGTAATGTTCAAATTATGTTTAATAAGGGACCTTAGATTTTTAGGAAAAAAATATTTTTTTTGGATTTAGATTGATTCAAATAAGTGTTAACAAATTGTATTTACAGTTAGTACTTTGTTATGATACAATTGTGGCCTAAAGCCATTGTGCTATTGATATTCTGAGTTATTTCTGATCCAATTTGGTCCCACCCCCGCATAAGAACATCTTGTTGCTGTCGTTTAATAGACATTTTACTATATCGGGCATTCTATATTTAATGTAATTGATATCCGCGGATTGCGGTGGAGTTTTGAGTTGCAGTATCATTGTAAGATGTTCTTATGCAGAAATGAAACCAAATTAGACCAGAAATAAGTCCATGCCACGATGGCTTTAGGCTATTTGTAATTGATGTAAATGTTATGATAACATAGTACTAGCTATAAGTACTGCCAAAACTTATTTACTTATTTGTTTCTTTTAATGTGCCAAAACTTTTTTGACCCTTGAATTTTATAATTCCTATCATTATTCTTAAATTATTTTTAGTTAGCTCAAACCATTACAATAAAAATTACTATTTGGATATTAGTATTAAAATAAATGTAGTAACAAACATTTAATCTTTTCGTAATTGAGATTTAAGAAAAAATGGGGTATGTCAATACTTTTTTGACTGTATATATCTACCCTTATGGAGAAACTTCACCAATGTTCTTTAAAAAACCGATTTAGTGATCTAAAAACTATACCATCTCAACTGATACCCCCTTCAGGCATTTTCATGCAATTTGAATTACCCACCCCTCAAATAGATTAACCGACTTTCATCAAACATAGCTAAAAACCTCGACAGCCGAAACTCAAAACGGATTTGCGAATATCGGGTTAACTTTGGCATATTCCCTAGCTTTGATTCGCTCACCCCCTACCATTTAAACAGATGATGGAGTGATTTTCATTAACCCTCAATTTGATGTCGGGAATGAAAAATCAAGCACATACTTGCACCGATTTCCTATCTGCCTATCTGTCAGTGAACCCGAAGGCATTTCCGTCATCGCGTAATGTCAATAACCACGTCTCAAACTTTGACAAAAATTTAGAAAAAAAAATACATCGAAACTTTGGTTTTATCCATGACAAGCTTCGGTAATTTTCGAGTATACAAATTTGTCTGAAGGTTCAAAGATTTAAAAGAAATCAAATAACAGTAACTTATTTTAGAACGTTATGATTTTTCTAAGAAGCGGTAAAGAGTTAATTTTGATATTAGTAATTAAATTTTTTTCATTGATAAAACTTGTTAAAAAGGTTACATACATTAACAAAAACGTGAGTATTCCTACGGCTGAAAGTGCATTGAATAACAAAAAAGTACTTACTAACATAACCCAAGAATGTCTTATTACCAAAAGGTGTTGTAAATTTCTACCCCATTGATGAGGTGAATAAGGACAAAACACGACCACTGCTCAAATAAGGCTATAGTGAGTTAGCATTACACTCTTACTAAACTGCATACTATTTTACCTCCACTTTTCTCCAACAGGCCTAGTTTGGAAAAAATTCAAGATAGGCGATTCAAATAAAACTGAATACAATACCTGTTTCAAAAATCTAGTGACGAAGAAAATATTTTTTCTTCTATAAGGATCAAAATTAGGCAATTTCTACGCCACTGGGGTAGTATTAGACACGAAAAATTTTGCATGTATTACCTATGGTGTCAGCGATACGTATAGAAAATTTCAATTCGGGAGATGTAATTTTTTTCAATTTCAAAATTATAATTTCAACGCATCGTATCTGTATCTATTTTTTATCTACTTTATGCCCCAGAAGTATTTCCACATTTTTCTGAATCACCCTGTATATCTAAATCCGAAGCTAGCGTCGGAGCAGTTTCCAAATACAATATTAAAGGATCACAAAACTTTTTTCGAGTTTAGGATCAAATTTTATTTTCGAGTAGGAAATAGTTAAAAAATCCGAGGATTATTGAAAATCAGGCCTCATATTTGCACCCAAGCAGTTGTAGAGTCAGAGTCATTTTTCTTAGAATATAACAGGCTTAGTATATGGGCACATAATTTAAAATTCCCTGTATCTGACACAGACCGATCAATACGAAATTGAACATATCATAAAGCGACTGAAAGTTGAGAAATCACCGGGATTTGATAATATAACCGCATACACTCTGAAACAAATAAATTATAAAATTTCTATAGTATCAGCATATCTTATAAACTCCTGCATGGAAAGAGGAATGTTCCCGATCCAATTAAAAAAGGCAATGATAAAATCTGTATGTAAATCTGGAGATGAACAGAAACCTTGTAATTATCGCCCAAGTTCAGTATTGACAAACTTTTCAAAACTTTTCGAAAAAATTCTTAAAAAACGCTTTTCAGATTGTATTGCAAAATACAATCTCATATCTGAAGAGCAATATGGATTCCAGGAAGCAAAATCAAGTCAAGATGCAATTATTCAGTTAACAACCAAACTTTACAAGTACGTTGATAACAATAAGTCAACAGCATGCCTTTTTGTAGACCTAACCAAAGCATCCGATTGTATTACACATCAAAAATTATTAAGAATCTTGCAAAATTTAGGATTTCGTGGAGTAACTTATCAACTCATGAAAAGGTATTTGGAAAACAAGTCACAATGTGCGAACATCAACAGTACACTGAGTGAAAATATGATTGTTAGATGCGGAGTTCTGCAAGGAATCGTATTAGCACCAATGCTGTTTAATTTATATATTAATGACCTCTTCAAGTTAAAAAATGATGCAGAAATTATTGGTTTCGCAGACGATTCGGCAATTATTTACTCAAAGATTGGTCTTCTTTACAAAACAAAATTGTATTAGATTTTCAAAAGGTTTCAAATTTTTTAGCGGAAAGGATTTTAACAGTCAATTTCAACAAAACATACTTTATTACATTTTCTTGCGACAACAGATCTTCCCCAAATTTTAATCAACTCCAAATTAAAATGTTGAATAGTATGTAGAAACACTCAATCGGTTGGGAATTTCAAATTCCTAGGGGTATTCATAGATAACCATCTAAGATGGAATAAACATATTGAAAATTTATTAAGAAAATTACGATACTTTATTCCGAAAGTCAAATATTTCAGCAGTTTTTTAAGCGAAAAATATCTACACATGATATATCATGCGCTTGTTCAATCATTACTATCTTACGGAATATTAGTATGGTCGGGAGTCATGAATGATTATTATAAAAAGATTGAAATTAAGTGGATTTTAAAAGTTATGTTGAACAAAAAGAAAATCTTTACAATCAATCTCAGCTTTTCGACTGCAGGCAAATTTATTTTCATCATACTAATAATATATTTAACAAAAAATCCAAAATTGTTACTTTCTATCAGCCACACCACCAAACGCGATTCAAGGAAATCTCTGCACTAATTCCTAGACTTAATAAAACCATCAGCCAAAGATGATTCTATTTTCTATGCTCCAAATTTTATGTTATTCCTGCAAACCTTAAAACATATAAAATGAAAAAACGTTTAAAAATTGAATTAAAATCATGGATCCTAAATCAACCCAAGCTACAAATCCATAAGTTTGTTGACACTAAAAACATATATGTTATTTGATCATAAAATGATGCAAATTTATACATTTGACTAGTATACTTAAAAAAAAATTTTTGTATTAATACAACTCAACTTTGGTTAAAACCCAAGCACAAGTGTACACTTTTTTGGGTATATTATGTTTGTTGGACATTGTCGTTATTATTTATACGAAAACTTTGTAATTGGACCAATAAACATTATTATTATTATTATTATTATCGAAATACGTTGGAGATACAGTCTACTGAACTCGCTTTTTTCTGTTAATCATTACAAGCTTGCTTATTTCACGATTCTTATATTTTTTCTTTATCCTTTCCAGATTTCCACCATGAAGGTCCTATTCTACGCAACCTTGGTATTGGCTGCCATTGCACTAGTCTTACACACGGCAAACGCATGTTTATCTGACGGAGAGAAGTGCGTTTACGACCCATCTGGACAAACATTCGATGATTGTTGCTCAGGTTTTTGCTACCAACAAGTAGGATGGACGGAAGGGTACTGCAAAACCCAATAAGCTACCACCAGTATTGATTGTTAATTTTATATATATTTCGTTTAATAAAATATGATATAACATATGAAATATTTAACTCTTATTGGTCTTATCTCACGGCATTGTAAAACAGTTTTAAAGGCTAAAGACATAACCAACTGTGCACAAAGATGTTCCAAAGTGTTAACTTTCACTGTTAACTTTAGTGACCATCTATTCTATTCTGTCACATTTCGTGTAAAAACAATAAACCACCACCTAGAGTAATTACATTTAGAGCCTATCGCAATTTTGATCTAACCTCTTTTGACGATGACTTATTTAGCGTTAATTGGGCTGAAGTTATTTATATGGCTAATATCGATAAGAAAGTAAAATTTATTTCCGATAACATTCTAGGACTTGTTGGACATACATGCACCACTAAAAACAGTGAGAGTGTCAAAGCCTCGTGCACCATGGCTCACAAACAATTTGAAAATTTTAATGAAAGAAAGAGATAAGGCTTTTCATAAATATAGACGGTCTCGAACGGATGCGAATCGAAATCATTACAATGAACTGAGAAATTTTACAAAAACTGCTACACGTGCAGAGAAATCAGGTTACCTTCAACATCTATCTCGACAAAGAAACTCTGCAGCTCTTTATAAAGCTCTTAAGTCATTTAGAATTCAGGATTCTAGTAATACTGACATTCCAGATGATTTAGCAGTTCCCAATGAAATAAATAACTATTTTACCAGTATATTCCAGAAAAGTGACGATGATTGCTCGAAAACTATCGAATTTTATAGCCATAACAAATTAAACCAAGATTTTCATTTTCAGTTCCGTCTTGTCGATATATCTACAGTATTGGATGCTATTCGCAGTATCAAGTCCACTTCTAGTGGTATTGATGGCATTACCATTGAGATGATTAAATTGTGTCTACCTGCTGCAGGAATATATATTTTGTACTTAATAAATTGTTGTTTAGAGCGCGGTGTTTTTCCAAGTGCTTGGAAGGAAGCATTAGTGCAACCTATTCCAAAGATTCCCAATCCCCAGGTTCCTGGTGATCTCCGACCTATTAGCTTGCTGTCGGCTCTATCAAAAATTCTAGAAAAAATAGTTTATATGCAGTTGAATGAGTATTTACTCGAACGCAGCACTTTGCCATTAAATCAATCAGGCTTTAGAAAGGGTCACAGTACCACTACCGTTTTGGCACGGGTTTGTGACGATGTACTAACAGCAACTCAGGGATCCATATTAGGTCCACTTTTATTCCTTATATACACCTTTGACATTTCTAACACCCTTCAACATTGTTCTAGTCAATCATATGCTGATGATATGCAGGTTTTTTATAATTTCTGTTCGAACAACTACCATTTAGCTAACAACCTTATCAATCAAGATCTGCAATACTTATGCACATATGCTGCAAAACATAATTTACGTCTAAACGCATCGAAATCGACAGCTATACTTTTTTGCTCCAAGAAAAAACGTACTTTCCTCAAACCAAAGTTAAATTTATCACTAATAATAGTATCCTAATATTTTCCCATTCTGCAATAAATTTAGGTTTGTACTTGGATGAAGATTTCAGATTTCAGGAGCATGTTGGCTATGTGTGTAGGTCTAGTTATTTTAGACTCAGGCTTCTATATGCAAGTAAAACTGTTTTAAATAGAAAAATTAAGAAAATGTTATGCGAGTCACTCATACTCAGTAAAATCGCTTACTGCAACATAGTTTATTATCCCTGTCTGGATGAAATCACAAAATACAGACTGCAAAAAATTCAAAACCCATGTGGTCGTTACATAAATACAACTTTGTTACATTTGTCGTAAAGATATTAAAAACTTCTGTTCGGGTTTATCTTATGCAAAAGCTTGTTCGTAGGAATTTAATTCACAATTTGAATATGCGCAACATTAATCTCCTGACAATGCCACAACATAGGACAGTCATTTTTCAACGGTCTTTTACGTATAATGCGGTGAAATTGATCAACTCTTTCGAACAATGTTTCATCAGCAACTTTTCTAAAAAAAAATATAAGAACTACTTATTGAGCTCTTAGGTTATTGTCTTCTCTTTGAATCGTACGTATTATGTTTTTTGTTCTAATCGTACGCATTATGTCATATTTATTAATTCTTCTTTTACTATTATTCTTCTTTTTCCTTTTCTTTTTCAGTTTTTTATTTTATTTTTAAGGTAGTAATAAGCATTGACATGACATTTATGGTTAAGTATAAATGGCCATTGGCCAGACTTCGCCATTTGTAAGGATAATTATGTATGTGATACAATAAAGTCCATTGAATTGAATTGAATTGAATATAAGGCCTACCGGGAAGTTATGTCCGTTTTTTGGTCAAAATATACCTTGGTTAAACTTCGGTTAACAATATAAGGTGCATCATCATTTATGACCTCTTACCAACATAATGGCTATCTGTATATTCAATTTTTATAAAACGTCTGGGTTCTAGGTGCAAAAAATTGATCTAGTGCTTGTTGGATATTGTCTTTGTTTTGAACTGTTTACCCTACAGACACATTTGTAACTACAAAAATAAGTGACAGTTGGAGGGTCTGAAGAGTGAGGGGAATGTCTCGAAACTTTTCAGCCAAGCTCTCTCTCTCAATTTTTTTGCGGATTTTCAAAGCCGTACGTGGTCTGCCATTAAAATTCAGTAGTATATTGTCCTTTATACAAAGGATTGCCGCCATTTTTCGCTCTTTAGCCGGCTTCTATCTCTTTCTAACATGTGCTGATACACACTTCTCGCGCTTCTCTCTCGTACACATTGAACTCAGGCCGTAGAAATTTGGTTCTCAGTGTATGTAACACATTTTCTTGGTGAGACACAAATTCGGTTTGGAGATGCAGAAAGCAGGTTTTATTTCAGCTCTTTATATGATACGTAATTCATGCTTTAACCTATGTTATTAGCCGATCCAAAAAAGGTTAAAAAGATATTTTTTCTTTAATATGTCCGTGGCAGTATCGTCGCCTCGTCGTCGATCAAATAATGCCGCTCCCAGTATAGTTTATCGGAAAGTTTACCCGTTAGAAATTCTACACTAAGCACGTTTAATAAATTGGCACATGCTACTGTAGCCTTTATTTCTCGCTTGAATTCTTACAAAATACAGTTGTGTGAATAATCCTCATCAGTAGCCATATAGCCATCGAAAAACATCAACGTTTAACGATTTTGTAATCCACAATTGACCATATCGTAAAGTCGTCAACGTTTAACCGTTTGGTTGTCCACGATTGACCATATTACAATAGGGTTTCATTACTGTTCATAAAACCAAAAAAAACCGCATAGTACTTGAATACTTTCTTCCTTGTTCAGTCACGAATTATTAGAACTTTCACTTGCAAACAGAGATTTAATATTAACGGCCACCATATCGTAGAAATTCCCATTTCACGAAATGATCGAGTATTCTATCAAATGGTCGCATTTCATAAAATGGCTATCTAAATTTGACCATACCGTTGAATCGTAAGCACTTAACGATTTGGACAACCACAATTGAACATATCGTAAAATCATTAACATTTAACGATTTGGTCATCCACGATTGACCATATCGTAAAGTCGTCAACGTTTAACCATTTGGTTGTCTACGATTGACCATATTACAATAGTTTGTCGAGTACTTTTTTATCTTTTGAGGCCGTATCGTCAGTCGTTCCTACAATTGTAGGATGCCTTTATGGCCTCCTTGATTTTCATAGTTTTCTACTCATCCGTGTCATCGCTCTATTTTGAGGTTTTCAAATTATTTATGCTTTTGATTAATATCATCTGTTGTATAGCCTGAAATTTCCTCCAATTCAAGAAGAAAATATAGCCTGACAATAGGAGAGCGCTAACGCTGACACGAAACAGTAGAAATCCAGAAATATCCCAACCTTTCTGAAAGAGAGGAAAGACTATGAAACTCAAGGCCATAACGGCGTCCTACAATTGTAGGAACGACTGACCATACGGCCCTTAATCTCACTTTCTTCCCCATTTTGTAACGAATTATTAGAATGTTCACTTCCAAACACAGATATAATATTAACGGCCACCATATCGTAGAAATTCCCATTTCACCAAATGATCGAGTATTCTATCAAATGGTCGCATTTCATAAAATGGCTATCTAAATTTGACCATACCGTTGAATCGTAAGCACGTAACGATTTGGACAACCACAATTGACCATATCGTAAAATCATTAACATTTAACGATTTGGTCATCCACGATTGACCATATCGTAAAGTCGTCAACGTTTAACCATTTGGTTGTCTACGATTGATCATATTACAATAGGGTGTCCAGTACTTTTTTATCTTTTAAGGCCGTATCGTCAGTCGTTCCTACAATTGTAGGATGTCTTTATGGCCTCGTTTTCTACTCATTCGTGTCATCGCTCTATTTTGAGGTTATCAAATTGTTTATGCTTTTGATTAGTATCATCTGTTGTATAGCCTGAAATTTCCTCCAATTCAAGAAGAAAATATAGCCTGATAATAGGAGAGCGCTAACGCTGACACGAAACAGTAGAAATCTAAAAATATCCCAATATTTCTGAAGGAGAGGAAAGACTATGAAAATCAAGGCCATAACGGCATCCTACAATTGTAGGAACGACTGACGATACGGCCTTTAATCTCACTTTCGTACTCATTTAGTAACGAATTATTTCCAAACACAGATATAATATTAACGGCCACCATATCGTGGAAATGCTCATTTCACGATATGATCGATCGTTTTGTCAAATGGTCGCATTTCATAAAATGGCTATCTAAATTTGACCATACCGTTGAATCGTAAGAATTTAACGATTTGACCATGTTGTGAAATCATCAACATTTAACGATTTGGTCATCCACGATTGACCATATCGTAAAGCCGTCAATGTTTAACCATTTGGTTATCTATGAATGACCATATTACAATAGGGTGTCATTACTGTGCATAAAACAAACAAAAAACCGTATAGTACTCGAGTACTTTTTCGTCGTAGTCTTTTAATCTCACTTTCTTCCTCATTTAGTAACGAATTGTTAGAATGGTCGCTTCCAAACACAGATATAATATTGACGGCCACCATATAGTAGAAATGCTCATTTCAGGAAATGATCGAGCATTTTATCAAATGGTCGTATTTCATAAAATGGCTATTTAAATTTGACCATACCGTTTAATAATAAGCATTTAACGATTTGGCCAACCAAAATTGACCAAGTCGTGGAATCATCAATATTTAACGATTTGGACATCCACGATTGACCATGTCGTAAAGTCGTCAATGTTTAACCTTTTGGTTATCTACGATTGACCATATTACAATAGAGTGTCATTACTGTGCATAAAACAAACAAAAAAGCGCATAGTACTCGAGTACTTTTTTCGTCGTAGTCTTTTAATCTCATTTTCTTCCTCATTTAGTCACGAATTATTAGAATGTTCGCTTCCAAACACAGATATAATGTTAACGGCCACCATATCGTAGAAATTCCCATTTCACGAAATGATCGAGAATTCTATCAAATGGTTGCATTTCATAAAATGGCTATTTAACTTTGACCATAACGTTTAATCGTAAGCATTTAACGATTTGGGTTACCACAATTGACCATATATCGTAAAATCGTTAACATTTAACGATTTGGTCATCCACGATTGGCCATATCGTAAAGTCGTCAACGTTTAACCATTTGGTTGTCTACGATTGATCATATTACAATAGGGTGTCGAGTACTTTTTTATCGTAGCCTTTTAAGGCCGTATCATCAGTCGTTCCTACAATTATAGGATGCCTTTATGGCCTCTTGATTTTCATAATTTTCTACTCTTCCGTGTCATCGCTCTATTTTGAGGTTCTCAAATTGTTTATGCTTTTGATTTATACCATATGTTGTATAGCCTGAAATTTCCTGCAATCCAAGAAGAAAACATAGCCT